TTGTTGATTTGTTGTTCACAAATAAACATGGCTGTTGATGCCTTCCTCAATAAAGCTGCTTCGTGGTTTCAGGGTAGGCCTGTTGTAAGGTCTTCTCATACAGCGAGTGCATTTATAAAAACTTTGAGGCTTCACCAAGTGGTATATTAATTAATTAACGCTATTCCCAAACTTCATGGGATACTGCACCATCTGGATAAAGTAACAATATATACCAACTCTCATTCTCCACTGGTACTGTAACATTTGAGAGTCAGTAGGTACTTCTGAATGATGAATTGATTTCCAATGAGGGTGTTTAAAAAACAACAACCAGCTGACTAATCCTGGATAAATGCAAACACTCATATTAATCTTGTTCTTTTCGTTGGCAATATCTCAAAAGGCATTTGCCAAGCCATCAGCCCCTTCCAACTATAAAATAATGTTACGTTTCTGTATCAAGTAGCTATTTAAAAGTTCAAGCCCAGGCTACGCTTCTTCTTTTTTTGCAAACCTTATCAGAGTCACTTATAGATACTGTACTTATCCAAAAGACACAGCCCCCTCTAAAACAGCCTTCTTCAACCTGGTGCCCTTCAGATGTTTTAGACAACAACTCTCATCAGCCTCAACTGGCATAGCCAATTGCCAAGCCTGATGGGAGTTAAAAGGCAGCAGGTTGAGGGAAAGTATTCTAAATTTTGGTCTGCATGTCATTCTTGCTTCTCACCTGATAATAGACAACTAGTTGAAGGTCTAGCAGAGTGTTCATTAGGATAGCAATAGAAGCGATGTATTTATGTGCATTTTGCGATTTTATGCTTGTGAGTCACCACAGAAGTGGCGCCAGGCTATGTTCTCTCTTTACAATGTCCCAGGTCTCATCCCTTGAAACTCAGACCCTGATGGGTCTGAATAGAGTGGACTGTGGCACTTCAGATAGTAACTGGTTGTATGTGTCATGTTCCTCTACAAAACTCTCCTCACATGTAGAATACTAGCACAGGAGGGAACAGACTGGGACAGAGCCTTTATCTCTGTTGTGCCAGTATGGAGGGTGCTCCCCCTGCTTCCCTTATCTGCTGTTCAAAGTACCTCCCCCTTCCTATGACTATGTTCCATCACAATATTTAAGATAACCAGGAACACCCTCATAAGCTTACTGTCCATACAGTAGCTCAGTTCTACAATGGCACACCAAAGACCCATAAGGCTGGGTGTCCTCAGGAAGTAACAGAAAATATTTTTGTGACTTTTGGTGGCCAAGGAGAGGGCAAGGTGGGGTTTAAATCAACATAAACCACTTTGTTACCTGACAGAAGCACTTGGGTTGGCTCAGGCTACAGGAAGTATAAAATGAAATGAAGTGCTTTGGGGACCATTTAAAGGAAATATTGTTCCTGTTATAGGATGTTTGCATTTCTCCTACTTTTTATGAAGCTATCTTAGGGGGAAATTGATGAGAAGTTCTATGAGCTAATATTGTTCTTGTAGTGAAAATATTCTGCTTTCCATCTCTGCTTCAGAACAGCAATATTGATGCTAAAACTTTTTAAAACAAAAACAAAAACAACACCAGAAAATGTAACTTTATGTTTCTCAAAAGTCCATACCTGTTCCTCTTAAGAACACTGAAATTGTTAGGTCAATGTGTATGAATCCAATTGCCTATCTTCATCTCAAAAGCCTTTAGCTCCTCCAAGAAAAAAATGAATGCCACTTACAAAATGAAATTGAGGCTTCTATTTCCCCCTCATTTGAACTACAATGCACAACCAGATAGGGTTGGGAGAGAAATTTGATTACGTTGATTAACCTCATATATTAAAATGAATGTATCAAATCTGCAATTTCTGAAACAATATAAGAGCTGAAACACAGCCATCCTTAAAAAAAATTGCACATATTCATTTTTTGTGATGTTCTCCAACCAATTAATGTTTGCAAAAAATACATATACAATGGGAAAGTATGCACAAAAATGAATATATTAGTGAATATAACCTAGAAAAATGTGTTATACTAGGGGGGGATTGCTTGCAGAAATGTACATTAGTCAAACCTACATACAAAAATGTGTTTATTAGGAAAAATGTGTAGTAAAATGCTGGTGAATTTTCATGAGAATATTTTTTAAAAAAATCTAATTGCTCCAGAAATGTGGAGAACTGCATTTAAGATGGGAGAATGAGAAAATTGACAAATCCTTCTATCCCTAGCAGTGGGAGAGGGGCCCCCCTCCAAAGCATTTAGAAAAGGAAGTGTTTAAACATGTTTCCATTTTATTTCTTCCAGAGATTATAATGCATAATTTTTGCACAAAAGTCAATTACATAGCCCAGTGATTTACCAGCAAAGCTGGTCAAAAGATATTATCTTAGTGCCAGTTAATGTGTGTGACTAGTTACAAGACAAAATAAATCCTTCGGAAATTACTTTTTAAAAAAAATGTACATAAGAAAATCTCAACCAAAATGACAGCCCTAGTAAATGGTTTCCATTTACCAGAGAGAGTGACAGCTTTTTCTTCCCTAGGAAATCACTGTCCCTGTTCTGCCTTTCAGAGAAGTATTTTGAGGAGAGACCTTAGAAATAAAAGTGTGTCTGTGTGGTTATGAGTTAACAGCTTTTCTGGTTTCAGCAGTGGTGTGTGACATCAGAGCAGAACTTTGGGGCAGCAGTGCCAGCCCCCTCCCACTCAGCAAAATGAGGGCCCCTAAATGTAGCAAGCCTTTCTTACCACATTTTGAAGCAAGTAATACCTATTAAAAACCTGAATAGGGGGAGAGCAGAAGACCATTAAGTTCAGAGCTAAAATTACCTAATCGCACCACTGGGTTTCAGCCTATGCATAAACAGAAATGTCCCATAGTGTTTCATCCAGGAAAAGGGGAATGGGTGCATCACAACTCCAGTACAACCCCACCATAGCCAATTGGATCGCTCTGCTATTTCTGTCAGACGCATTAATCAAAACGCAACATTCCATCACCTATAGGCGCCAGGCAAAAGCTTTCCTCTATGACCTAAGAAGTGGGTGGGTGGGATGATTTTAATGTATTTCTTTTTCTCCTTGGTTTTAATGCATCAGGGAGGGGGAATGTTGTCTGGTTGTTTGCTTGAAAGCCACTTTGAGTACATCTGGGCAAGATAAAGCGACTAACAAATTGTAATAACAATTGTGGGAGAAGCAACACCTCCAAGGGAACAAACTTGAAGCCATCCCATACTGCACTGCATTGAATTTTCTCAATATGCAAAAACCTTCTGGGCCTGTCTTAAAAATATGGACCCATCCATTTCTTGACAGCAGAGTGTGTAAGGAGGAGTGTGCACAAGACCAGAATGGATGTTTGTAAGTTTCTCCACCCAAAATAGTCTCACGTTGCACATTAAAGAGGTATACTTGGAACTACTCAAATGTCTTTAGTTTTTATGTGCCAGAGCAGTTTTCCTGGGTCTTGTCTCTGGGATGACACAGAAGGAATCATGATCAGGGATTAATATTTTAGAAGAGATTACCATTACAAAGAAAAAACAAAGCTATTGACACCATGCAACCTTCCGAAAAGGACATTCTGCTGAAATCAGATTCAAGTCATTGGATACAAGCAGCTGAGAGTTCCCAAGCCAAAACAAAGAAAGAATAAAGTTTCAAATACCTTTTCCCACCCTCTTCCAAGAATGTTAAATAATTCTGGTATATTTTGTCCTGAAGTGACTTATTGTACAATTGACAGACTAGGAATGGGAGCAATTTGACTTGAAACGTTTTAATGCTCATGTCCATCTGAGGAATTACTTCATGGAATGAAATGGCAAAGGTTACTAACATGGTTCCTTTAAAGTTGAGTTGATGCAGGGAACTAGAAAAACTTGCACTTTCTGGATAAAATCATACCCTCTGATTACAGGCTTGTCTGTCACATGGAACTTTCCCTCCACCATCCCCCCCATGGTTTCCTTTCCCTCAGCATCCCTCCCTTGTGTTTACCTTATATGGTAATCTTAGAGACATTTAGAGATTAACCCTATATACAAGAAGCTGGCATAAAGCAAGCCAGTGTAAGTTAAGACAGTGTAAAGTTACACCAGATCCAAACTCTATTCAGCAGTGGCCCTGCTGCTGATTGAGCAGGCTTCAGACTGGCAGAGGGAAAAGAAGCCTTTGAAATATTGTTTGAGGTGCACCACCCTTTTTGCTGCCTTAACTTATACCTAGTTTACAGGTCACATGCCTGAGCTGAACCAGTATAGGATCCAGCCTAGGTCTCCCTTATTTGGTTCCTCCCCCACAATGCCCCTATAGCACTCATTTTTCAGAGCTTAAACCAGTTTACGATCCATTGCACTCAGCTCAGCCAACTGACTCCCAACTGAGTCAGGATGGAGGAGATACACTGTTGCATCTCTGGCTGAGCCAAGGATAAGGGAGTTAAGCCAGCCTAGTTCAGCTGTGCCAGGGACCTCCCAATTCAGCTGGAGATATGCTGGATCCTAACCCTTTCATCCCAGTGGATTTTGCTATAGGATTGCTCCCTCAACGTAATTTTTTTAACAGACACTTGTCTACAGCATATAGATTTGGATTGCGAAATCACCACAAGGCACCTCAGAAGTCCTCATTTCGGCTCATGCTGAGTAGTTCCAAATCCTGTTCTATCTCTGACAAACTCAAAATCCCTCTGAGGTGCACCCCAATTTGGCTCAAGATTCAGGATTCATCCAGATCCCAAGCACAACCCTAGGCTATTGTTCCACACCCAGAAGATACCTCATGGAGAATATTCAACAGAATTAAAACTCCAACTGAAAACTGGCACTGTCCTAACTTATTTGATTCTTATAGTATAGAGTCAGAGCGTGTGTCCAGTACACTGTGGCCATGCAAGGACAGGGTCCATGCCAGGGAAAAGAGGTGAAGAAGATAAGGGAGAAGCACCCTGGTCACGGAAGCTGCAAGTGACTACATTTCCCAAAAAGTCAAACCAGAAGTAGACAAGCAAAAGGATACTTACTGTGTCAGCAGTATTGAGATTGTGGCCTACCCAGGAAGGACCATAGCTCAATGATAGGAGGTCTTCTTTGCATTCAGAAGGTCCCAATTTCAATCCCCAGCATTTCCATGGAGCCATGAACAGCAGCTGGCAGTCAATGTAGGCAATACTGAGCTAGATGGGCCAATAATCTGATTCAGTGTAAGGTGTCTTCCTTTGATCCTAAGAGCAAGAAAGGACCTAGTCAACAGTATGAAGGGTAAAATGAAATGGGTGCAGCTTTGAAAGCTGTTTATCAGAGATGAAGGATATTAGGAAGGACCACTCACTTGAAGGCTTTTGGCAGAACTACATATCACTTATCTAGGGATGACCAGATCCAACATTTCTGGATCATGTTTATGTAGCAGTGCTTCGTAGATAATTTCCCCATTTCACTCAGATTTTTTTTGCACATGTTTACAGGATAATTTCCAAGAGCTATCGTGTGGATAAAGCACCAGAATTAGCTCTTAGCAAACTTAAAATGAGAACTGGGACTTTGAAGAAAATATTTATTTATACTAGTAATTATTTTCCCTCAGGGATGGTGGCAATTACTTGGACAGTCAGGCACAAGAATGAGTTTTTAAAAGGACCATTCTGTGCTAACCTCTTTGACTTCAGATTGTGTTATGCACTCCCTTGAATTCAATTAGGTGGCTCTTAACACAGAATCTGAGAGTAAAATGTCTTTAACTAGCTGTTGACAAAGAACAGTTCCTGATAAATGCAAACATCAGTGCACAAAATGCTGGTGGTGCTGACAAAGATTTTAGCAAGAATGTTTAACAATTACACTTAGAAAATTTTGCAATATAAATATGTAATCCACTGCAGGTGGTGAACCCCATAGACCTATTACAATTTGCCATGTTCACATTCTCTGGTATTCTGTAGGCCACATTATATGTCTTTTCCCCGCCCTTCTTTAATGCACCAGTGAAAAACATTACCCACATTTAAACAACCTACACACACACACAAAATGAAAAAAATTGTAAAAAAAAAAATCTCCAGCAAAGATCATTTATACATCTGACAACCTTTAAACCCCTAAAGAAAGTTGGGGGAGGAAACCTTACTGCTCTCTGAAGAGCTCTTTGGTGGAGCAAGGAGAATTATGAGCAACAGGAGAAATACTGGTAATTAAGACAACAATATATCTATATCTCACAGCTGACACAGAATGGAGCTCCAAGTTAGCTTTGGGCAAGGAGTTGGAGGAGGAGGAAAAGAATGAAGTGCAGCTGCGCTGTCAAAGAGACATGCCAGCTCTGGAAGAGAGCAACGAGGACAGATTTGATTTTCTTAAGATTGGCTTAAGAAAGCAGATGTGTGCATATCCTCCAAATACACATTAGAGCAGATAGGGCCGTCTTAAGCATATCCGGCACCGTGGTGCAAAGCCCCCTCTGGCGCGCGCACACACACACCCATTTCCCAGAATTGTCAACCTTTTTTTAGGGATGACGGTGCTGCCGGCGGGGCTGGAGGAGGCATGCAGTGGCTGGAGGGCGGCTCCTCCAGCAGGGAAGATGCAGAGGCTGGACGCGGTGCCTCCCTGCTCAGTTGGCCACAGCAGACAGAGGTTCTGGGCGCGCGCTGCTTTGGCACGGCATGGCGGAGGTGGGCGAGGAAAGCAAGCTGATGCCAGGAGGCACCACGTCCAGCCTCCACCTCTTCCCTGGTGCCCTCCAGAACTTGGTGCCCTGGCGCCCCACACTACTAGTCTCTATAGGTAAGACGCCCCTGAGAGCGGACGTGAATAACATTTTGCCCTCCAGTAGTTGCTGGACTACCATCATCTCATCATCCCCAACCATTGACCATGCTTGCTAGGGCTGATGAGAGTTTTAATTCAGCAACATCTGGAGGGTCAAGGGCTCCCCATGCCTGTGTTATAGTATCAAGTCAACAGTGATCCAAAATAGAAGTCAAATGCAGGGAACCTTCCTCAGACCAAGGACCACATTCCCTCCCAAACAACATTCCAGGGGCCAGTGGTGGATGGGGCCAGAGGCAAAAGTGGGCAGAGCAATGAATTAACTTTTACTTTTAATACAGTAGGCTAGTTTCTACTCACATTTGCACACCCAGTGGTGTTTGGTGCCCATTGGGACTGGTGGGGTAGAAAACAAAGGCCCAACAGCAGCTTAGCAGAAGGTGCTAAATAAGGAGCCCAACATGCAGAGCTAACTAATTCTAACCATTCCCTTGCTGAATTTCACATGGATAACAGTGAGGCCAAAGAGGAAGAGGATGATAGGCAGATCTGTTCTCTGGAGTGGCTGTAAGTAAAAAGAGAAATGAAAAGGGAGGTGGACTTGGATGAATCAAGACTGAGTTTTGTGGGGCAATTGTGCTAATAGGCCAGTCTACCTTTCTATCCTCCATCCAAGCAAGCAAAAGGCATGATTAGAGTTCAAGGACACATTCCAGCCAAGCAAAACAGGTGCAATGTAGGGCCAATGAGCGGAGTGACCTAGGGAGATGGGGTGTGGCTGGGTAGGGGGTGTTGCCTGCAGAAAGTCCTATAAGAGAGAGGCCAAAGGGCCCCAATTGGCTCTCAGATATACAGCTCCCCACTTCTTGTATTAGTGGTCATTGTAGAAGTGTGCTTTTCCTGCCGGTCATCAGAAACAATGACTGGAGGTGAGCTGCCTAAAGGAAAGCAGAGAAAAGACCAGGAGCGAGATGTTGTATTTTTAGCATAAAGCAAAATAGCCAGATTATTAAAGTCTGAGGAGGACTGTAGCTCAGTGAGAGTATGTTTTGCTTGCTAAAGATCTGCCATTCGGATCTCATCAAACCCCTGCCTGAAAGCAGTGGCCATTGGTGTGGTTCCAAAACCTGTCCTCAAGGTTCTTAAACCAATGCATGCTTTCCCATAGCAGCGGGGGACTCAATTTACAAATGGAACACACTCAACAGGAAGCGAAACATGTTCTTATTCCAAGGCAAAGTTCACAAACCAAAACACCTACTTCCGGGTTTGCAGTGTTCTTAATCCAAGTTGTTCATAAACTAAGCTGTTCTTAAACCAAGGCACTACTGTACTGATAATTCATTTGCCAACAGCTTCAAATTTAGTCATGGCCCAAGGCTGGAAGGACTGGTTTATAAAAGCCTTCTTTATACCTACATAATAGAAACTGGCCTACCCACTTCAGGTTCTCAGGGAAGAAGTGGAGCCACAGCTGTCTGGTGGCTTTCTGTTGCTTATTTAACAACACAGTAACAGTCACACAGATGTCAAATTCTATCCAAATATCATTTCATATGTTGCTGGTTTTGGTTATGAGTTTTTGATTCACTGTTTATGTCTTACCTTGAAATTCTGCCCTATTGCCCTGCTTTGTACATTTGTAAGTCTTTTTCCTTTATATCTTTCTTTCCCTTACCATATATCTGACCATTCACCTCATTTTTACCTTCACAACAACCCAATGAGGTAGGTTGATTAGTAGATGATCCAGCATGGCTGAGTGAGCTTCAAGACTAAGGAGGAGCTTGAACCTGGGTCTCCCTAGCCTTAAAAACAGCCTCCACATGAGAAACATGCACAGTAGGAAAAGCATTAGGTATACATTCCAAGAGTATTTCTGTTTGTGGCTGCATACACAGCATACACTCAAAGCACACTTAAAGGACATGACATCCCCCAAAGAATAATGGAAACTGTAATTCCCAGCACTCTTAGCAAACTACAGTTCCCAAGACTCTTTAGGGGAAGTTGTATATGGTTTGTTTGCAGCCTCATATGGGAACATCATGTTTGGCTTCCCTCCCATCTGCAAGGTGGTTGGCCAAAATGAAGAGCAAAATACTGTCAGAAGCAGCTTTTTAGCTGGGAAATCTGGACTGAAATGCTAAAGATCTCCTTAGGTTTCCTGAGAATGAGCCATATAAATGGAAGCCTCTTTTGCAGGGGAATTAAACTTTCCAGAAACTGAAGAGCAGATTTCAAAACAGCACTTATCTGTACAGGACTTCTCTCTGCACACCCCTCCTCTGAGATTTTTTTTTGGGGGGGGGTCGCTTCTACACTATTTTTCCATCACTCAGTGGCTCTCAATAAAATACACTCGATAAAATACAAGTCAACAAGTCAATTATTAAAATTACATAACATCCATAATAAGACAACAACCTGAGAACTATAAAAATCAAACAAGGGTTCATAAGTCATATTTATTAGAATGTAAGCCCGAGAATAGGGACTGTATTCTGTCTTCATTTCCACATAATGCCCAGCAATTTTTAGATGTTTTATAAATAAACAACAGTCACTTTCCATTCTGTGTATATTCCATCCAGAAACATCCCAAAATAATGGTAAAACATAATGAAATCCCCTAGGTGGGGGTGGGTAAATATGTCAATTTCAATTTATCTCTGTTTCTATCCCAGTTTTAAGTTCAGTTCTCCACATTTACACACCAAGGTTTTTTTTTGGGGGGGGTTATAAATCCTCATTAAAATTCACTAGCATTATAGTGTGACTTTCTCCTAATATGCACAGGTTTCTAGGCTATTTCCCCAAACATACGCATTGCAAAGCAGTTGCCCAAAATATAATGCATTTTTAAGGTTGTTTTCACTAATATATGCCTTTACACACATGTGCATGTGCATTCTTGTATGTATCACTTGGCTGGGAAATTGCATTGCAGAATTCAAAGACGTGTAAGTTTCAAAGGATGGTTTTGTCTCAGTTCAAATCTTGCTCCAGAATGTGCAAAGGGCAAGTTCTCTTAAATTTAAACTGAGTTGAATTTATTCCCACTCCCTACCCATGGACGACTGGGATAATAGAGTGATTTGGCTGCTTTAGACCAGGGATGGACATAAGGTAAATTGAGAACTACTGATAGTTCGTTAGGTAGGGATGGAGAGTCTGGGATTTGGTTTAGTTCACATTTTAATGCAAACCTAAGGGCTTATGCACACTTCTTCTTGTCCCACTACTCTCTTCCAGGGAAAACCGCTCTTTAGTGCTCAATTGGAGCAAATGGCAATTTAAGTTTCCTCCGGATTGACGTTTGTTCCAATTTAGAGCTATAGAGCGAGTTTTCCTTGGGAAAGGAGCAGGTCAAGTGCAAAACCACTTGGACCCATGCTTTCTAGTCATAGGACAACCAGAAGTTTGGATGAGCCCTAACACAGCCTTCCCTGAAACA